TTCTTGTTTTCCAGTTTGGATTATCTTTTTTTTTTTTTTTAAAGATTTATTTATTTATTTATACAAGCACTGGGTACAGTCAGAAGCACGGGAGGGTAAGAGAATTCATCAGAGCCAGAGCGGGAAGCAGAACAGGCAGACTGACGAAGTACACTGCTGAGGGGAGCAGTGGGCGTGGCAGGAGAGGTCTGCGTGCCATGTGGGACCCTCACTGGCAGCCAGGGATCTAACTGGCACTGTAGAGGCTGCGGGCAGCTTTGCAGCCCAGCGCTCAACCACTGTGCCACTGAGGAGGCCCTATCTTTTTTTTTTCAAGATTTGTTTATTCATGCATACAAGAACCGTGGTACAGGCTAGAGGTGCAGTGGGTGAGAGGATTAACCAAAGACAGAGTGGGGAACACAACAGGCAGATTGACTGACATATACTGCTGAGGGAAACAGTAGGCAAAGACAGAGAGGACTGCTGTGCTATTTGGGTAGTTCCCTGGGTGGCCAGGGATTGAACTTGTGCTGCAATGGCTGCAGATAGCTTCACAGTGCTGTGCTTAACCCTTGTGCCACCGGGGAAGCCCAAGGTTTTGTTTCTGATCTATACAATCACTCTCTGCCTTTTGATTGGTAAGTTAAGTTAATTTACATTTAGAGTGACTATTGATATACGAAGGATTTGCACCTAGCATTTTGTCTCTAGTTTTCTGGGTCTTTATATTTCCATGTTTACTTTTTTTTTTTAATTTTATTTATTTATACAAGAACTGGGGTACAGGCCAGATGCACAGGAGGGTGAGAGGATTCACCAGAGACAGAGTGGGGAACAGAACAGGCAGACTGACGAAATACACTGCTGAGGAGAGCAGCGGGAAAGACAGGAGAGGTCTGCCACATCATGTGGGACCCTTGCTGTCTGGCCGGTATCAAACCGGCACTGCAGAGGCTGCGGACAGCTTCACAGGGCAGCGCTCAACCACCTGTGCCACCAGGGGAGGCCCTCCTTGTTTACTTTTTTATAGTTTTTTCTTTTAAATTTTGATAGTAAAATTCCTTTCAATATTTCTTAAGTGTACTTCTGTTGTTGCAAACACTTCAAAGTCTATTTGTCTTTGAAGGCCTTTAGTTCTTTACATATCTGGAGAGTCTCACAAGATATAGTATTTTGACTTGAAGCTTTTATCTTTAAGTATTTTGACTATGTCAGTCCATTTTCTCTTGATTTGTATTGTTTCATAGGTAAGTATGATGGATGTCTTTATAAGTTTACCTGTTTTCTTCCCCTAAACAACTTAAATATTCTTTCTCTGTCTTGAACTCTTGCTAGTTTCACAGTTATGTATCTTGGTGTAGGCCTCATAACCTTTTGATAACTCCAGTAACTTGTTTATTTAGTTTTGTTCCCAATTTGACAAGTTTTCTTCTATTATTTCTTTGAATAACTAATTATTCCCTTCTCTTGTTGCTTACTGGAATACCCATTATCTTTTTTTTTGTCTTTCTTATTGAAATCAGAAGACTCTTAAAGCATTACAAATTTCCCCCCTCATTTTCTCCTTCTTCTTCCACTTGGGTTTTGTGCTTTACTCCCTTTGTGGTCACTGATTCAATTCTACATTTGATCTGTTCTGCTTTACTAGCATTATTGAGATTATTTAATCTTCTCTGTTGATCTTTTACATCCTACATCGCTGTTTTCCTTTTTCTCATCACTTTGACATTCTGATTTTTTTAATTATAATTTTTATTTGTATTGATGAATCATCGTTTCACATCTTTGCTAGTGTTCTGACAGTTTAGGACTTCCCCCCTCAGATGTAGTCACCATAGCACTCCCACCACCAAAACATCCATAGTGTTCTCTCCTCATCCCTGCTCCCATTTCCTCTTCCCCCTGCTCCTCACTATATGAAAGCCACAGATATTTGTTATTTTCTTATTTGAAACTTTTATTTCTATTTTCTGTATATTAACTTTTTTTCTCAAGTCATTATATTTGTTTTTCTGAATTTTTCTGTTTATTTGTTTAGCTTTTCAGAATTTTAATGTATCACTTATATATTCTTATCTGCATTTTCTACCATCTCTTTATTATGACAATTTAAACTCCCTATCTGATAGGAAGCCAAACTCTCCCATGTTTTTATAGTTAGATTCTGGACAATTGTTCTCCTCTTAGATTACCCCAGGACTAGTCCTGGAGTGTTGGGTTGGGTTACTCCTGCTCCAGTACACAGTTCCCAACAGTCAAATGTACATTTTTCCATACTATTCAACTCTCCCTTCCTGGAGCCATTGACAAAGTGGCAGTGTTGTAGTTTTTAAAGCATCTTCTCTAACACAGATGACAGTCTCCAGTCTTTTTATCACCTTCATCATATTTAATGAAGCATAAATCTCCTCTTTTTGCTATAATCTATGCTGTTTTATGATATCCAAGTCGTATTCTTGTTTCACCCTAAGTCACAGCACTCTTTAGGTGTAGTTTTGCTCTATTTAACTTTCAGATGACCATCCCAGGAGTGAATTGAGGAAACTCTTCTGACACCATCTTTGTCCAGTCTATACAAGACATAATTTTACTAAAACCCAAAGACACTGAAAATTAGATTCTTCATCCCAACATGTCATGTTTTCCAAGTAATATTTCTTTTCTCATCAAACTGGCCTTCTATATAATCCCATTTCTGTAAGTGATTTCATTATTATTTCAATTTTCTGAGCTTTAAAAATATACTTCTTTCCCTTTCCTTCTTTTTCTCTCATCTATAAATAAAAAGACATAACTGTCTCCATATTGTTTTAGGTTTATCCTTTACTGCAATCTCCTATTGCTCATTACCATAGAATTAGATTATCCTCATAAACTCCTGTATTTTTCCCAATTTATTGCTTGAATAGTTATACCATTTCATTGAACAGAAAAAATGAACATTTAATCATTTATTTGCTCAAACATATGTCATTTAATCATATCCCATTTCTTTTTAGTTACTTTAATTTATCATTTCTAGTATGAACTCTCTACCTTAGTTCAATTTGAGAATCTCACTATCATCCTTTCCCTTCTCTCTTCTTATAGCTACATTTTGGGAGTACTATTCCTCATCCAAATGTCCTAATTTACTTAGAACTTGTTTCTCAGGTCATTATATTTGTTTTTCTGAATTTTTCTGTTTATTTGTTTAGCTTTTCAGAATTCTAATGTATCACTTATATATGCTTATCTGCTTATCTGTTTTTTTCTGTGTTCTGACAAAATCCTTATCCCCAAATAAGATGTTAGTCACCATGGGTTTGCAATGAATATTTTACAGTTACAGTAGTCATATTAAGTTTACTATAACATAAGTCTACTCACATAGGGAAACTCTAACTTTAGTTCCCCACTCTATCATGGTTTTGCATATTTATATTGTGTGTTTCCATGAATAAATCTCTGTGGTTATATTTATTCATACTGCTTTTATCTTTAAATTTATATACTAGTCTAAAGAATAATTTGCATGTCACTATTATGCTATCTTGTTTATCTCTATATTTATTTTTAACATAACAACATAATATAGAGAGACATCATATGCATTCATAGAAAGAGTGAAGCGCTCTTAAGTTTGGAAGCTGCACATATGACTTTCCAATCCCATTTAAAAACATGTACATACTTTCTCTTTTGTCCTCTCTTTCTATTTTCTTCTTTTCTATAACAAAATAGAAGGTAGTAATTAGAATGAAGTATTTTCTGATGGAAAAGCTCTGCTGCATAGGGTAATATTAGACCCAGCTTCATCTGGCTTTATTGATGCTGCCCATTCTAGTTATGTTCTTTGATTCTAAATAAGATCTACATAGTTTGATTATAATGAGACTAGAATAAAAGCATATATTAGGTACTCCAAAGTATTCTACAATTATTATTATGGATTATTAAAAATAGTTTGATTAGGAAATATTGAGAATTGTGACTTTTCAGATGGTGCTTCTCTCTTCATTCAAGAAGGACATTGTTGAGTTGTACTGTCTCATATAATATGACCAGAATTTTGGGGAAAATACAACATTGAATTTCTTTGGATTTAAAATCCTCCCATCTTCCTTTGTGAATCCTCTGTTCCTTTTGCTTTTATTTCCCTCACATATAGAAAATACCCTCATGTTGCTCCTTGGTTAACTTAAGTTCATATCACATTGATACTTGTATTATTACATTCTTAAAATTTGTTCTATTACTATATAGACTAGAATTTGTTTTTCCTAAATAGTATTTTATGGCAAAATATCTGAACTTGGTAAGAAAAAATTAAAAGAACAAGGAAAAAGAAACTTCTTCCTTATTTGTGTAAGTGTAATGCATATTTTAAAAGTTGAATTTTTAATTGCTATTTTGTATGTAATTTTTAAGAATACTCTTAGACTTTTTATTATCTTTTCTGGATATATTACTTTTTTCTCTATATATCAATTGATTTATGTCTCTGTTATTAAAAAATCTTCCAGTCTATAATTATGTCAATATTTTGGTCTGATTTCCACATCATTATAAAGTTGTCTTTTTGGTCTAATGCCATGTTTCACAGTTTGTTCATTGCTATAATAACTGGTGATTTTTTTCTTATTTCTCTGATTTATTACAAATAATTCATTATGGTGGCCTGAATGTTCATATTGCCTTGAGCAAATTCCTTTTATTTGAATTCCAAGAATTTTTATTTTCAGTGCATAGTTAAAATTTTCCTGTTTCAATTTTAAATTTATAAAGTATGATATTACTTATGCACAGTTCATCTTTTCCTATAGCTAGACATTTTAAAATTATTTGTGGATTTTTTTAAATTAAAATAGTAAGAGCAGTGAAAGGTAAAAAAAATTCCAAATCTTCGATTTTCAGACTTAGAGTTTTATTAAAATCAGGTTTCTTCTTTTTCACAAAGCCATACATTGGTTGTACAGATGGTTGTATGAAAAATGTCAAATTAAATATTTTCCTAACATGCATTTATTTTTAAACAGGTGATCAAGTGATATGGACTGGATACTATGGCTTAGTATATAACATGACAAAAATGTTATGGGAACTTAAGGGAGATGAAGAACAGGATGGACTTAGAAATAAAATATGGCAAACATTTCAAAAAATAAAGAATAATGATAAAGATGGGGTAATCCAAAGTGCAATAAATATAGCTCAGGTAAGATTAAAAAACTAAACAATACATACTTAAGTTAAGGATGCATGTTTTTCCTTTCCCTCAAAGGAAAAAAGGAATGTCTATATACATTATCAGTGACATAGTTGAGAACTCAATTTTTAAATATTAAAATTGGCCAATTTTTAGTTAAAGATAAGAGGGTTGGCACTCTTTTGAATAAACAGTTTCAAGAATGGAGTTGATAAACTGTTTTTTTCCCATGTACAATTTTTTTTTTAATTGAGATAGCATTGGTTTACAACTCTGTATGTGATTCAGAGGCATAGGAAAATGTCAGCATGTCATTTCTTTCAAGCATTTGTCATGATAAATTCTAAACTATGTTTCCAAGAAAAAAGGAATGGAGATGTTTGTCGGAATATTAATTGTTCTGTTTGGGCTTGTGCTTTTGAAAGATATATTTAAGTATGCTGACAATGTTTTCAGGTTTCTCAGGTGACTCTGGGTCTTTTCCTAATTATCCAGATTTCTCATTAGTAGCAAATTGACTTTTCTCTAGTATCTTAATTTGGATAATAAATTTTTTAGTTATTTAAATTTTTCTTAAATTTTCATTCTTAAATCTGGACTCATTAATACTAGGTATTTTTGATTAATGTAGAAAATGTATTTTATGATTTCTTGGCTTTGCTCGTTTTATTATAATCACTATATAAATTGCTTGGAATTCAAAGAAAATCAGTATGGAGTTAGCTATCTAGTCCTCATAAAATACAAATATGATTTTTCAGTGATGTTTTATCCATATAATATCCTATTATGTCTCAAAACGTCTATCATACATTTCTTTCTTTCTTATTTTTAGTCATATTGACCTGCTTGTTATCATAAAATTGACTTTCTTTTCTGTCGTTAAAAGTTTCTGTTCTTCCTAGCTTTCATATAGGCAAGTATTCTAACCTTCCTCATGGCCTATCTTCCAAAAATAATTACAGGTATGAATTAATGTTGACCAAAAAAATAACCAATAATAAATTCACATTGCTTAGTCAATGGTCAAAACATATGGGATCATTATTGGCAATGGAGTATATATTTTCTAGATTCTTAGTAAAATTAAAAAAATCTAACTTTTGCTTTATTTTGGATATGAAGAGAACTTGTGTTCCCTTTACAATTTTTTATTGAAATAAACCTTGCAATTATAAAATATTGTATAGGTTTCAGACTGTGTCATCATATTTTTTAAAGATTTATTGATTTATGCATATAAGAGCTGGGGTGCCAGCCAGAGGCACAGGGGCATGAGAAGATTCACCAGAGATGGAGTGGGGAGCAGAACAGGCAGGTCTACTGAAATACACTGCTGAGGGGGGGCAGTGGGCAAGACAGGAGAAGTCTGCTGCGCCCATTGTGTTACCTCCTTGGTGGGGGATAGAACTATGCTGTAGTAGCTGCGTATAGCTTCATAGTGCTGCGCCTTAACCCCTTGTGCCTCCAGGGAGGCCTCTCAGAGTGTATCACTATAAATCAGCATCTGTTTATAATGCATTCTGCTCACCATTAAAAGTCCAATTCCATCATTTACCATACAACCTTATTTATGCACCCCCCTCTGCCTTCCCTTCTGGTAATTACTGATTTGCTTTAATTAATTCCAGCCCTTTTGATCGTAAGTCTGATTTGGAGTAATGATCGTTATGAGGGACTATTAAAAAACAGTTTATCATTTTGTCTAAATTTCAACTTTTTTTTTTCATAAAAAAAGACAAACAGGGATCTGTCTGCTTGAACTACATTACTTTGGACTTCATGAACTTACTTTTATGGAATAGTGCTTTAGTTTTGTCCTTGGCTTTTGGATTGAGAAGACAAAAGGAAAACAAAGAAAATTTTTGTATCTATTGTGGTTATGACCAATATATCACCCAATATCTCCTTTGTAGGGATTTAGGAAATAAATTCTTCTTAGTTTTATGTACTCTCTGAACCTTATTGATTTTGTATAAGTTGCTCACTGAAGCTTAAAAAAATGAGCATTGATTTTTTAGTGCAATTTCTTCCTTATAGGGATAGTGAACAAGGCATATTCATTTCACTTGGTCTTTTTCTCTTTCTTTGTGTTTGCATGATTCTTTCAGTTCTTTATACTGTCATACTGTGAGATTTTGTATCTATTTTTATATTGCGTTTCACATCTCAAATAGATTATATTGAACTTAATAAATATGCCAACTCAAATTTGCCATTTCTATAATTAGAATTCTATTTACATGACTGTTTTCAGGGCCAATCATTTGGTGCAAGATAGTCTTCTTTCTCTAAAATTTTAATAAATATCTATGCATAATTACATTTGAAATTCATAAGTCAGTTAATCAGGCATAGCAAATATTTTTTAGATGGTAGTTCAAACAAATTCCTTACTGCTCAAGCAGTCAGCCTTGAGAATAAAAGAATAAAGAAAAGTATAACTACTGAATGTGCTAATTAGTTTTCAATGCGTAGTGAAGAGACTTCTAAAAAATGCTCTCATTCATTTTAATAGTAAATGTGTGGGAAAGGCAATTTTTCCTCAGAGAAAAATTTAGATTAGAGATTTCTAAAAGCATTTATATTAATTTAAGCATAGCATATATTTAACATAATAAATAAGTTTAATTTGCATTAGATTGAGTAACTGAAAGATACAGTTCATTTGACTGGTTTTATGTAAAGGTCTATCTAGGGATATAAGACTTTTGGGTTATTAAAATAAAATATATGATTTATAGATATAAATGCTAAAGTATTTAGCTGGTGACTTTGAATTATTACCTAATTTGAGTTTCCTTACTGAATATCAAGATACTATATATTAAGATACTAAGACCTATTTATATCTGATATTAAAATATATCTATATTATATATATATAATCACTATATATATAGGGGGAGAGAGAGAGAGAGAGAGAGAGAGAGAGAGAAAGAGAGAGAGAGTGCTTACTAAGTCTATTTTGCCACACTAGATTCTATGGTAGAGGTAAGAAATGCAAGGAAGTTAAAAAAGTGACTTTTATACAATATATTTTACTTTCTTTTTCCAGCAGACATATTTCCTAGGAATTGATAAGGAACAATGCAAATGAAATATATGTAGCTAGCTCCCTCAAAGTTCATGGTATATAATGGGAGTTCAGATAAATGTTTGGTCTTTAATTTTTTCATTTATTAATGAAGAATAAGTAATTGTCACTTTAGTATTTTTGCTGTCAACTTAAATGATGATTTTAAATGATTCAAGTGGGAAGAGTAAATAGAGCACCTTTTAGATAAGGAAATGTCATGAAAAAGCAGAAATAAGAACTCTGTGTGAGAAAGCCGTTTGTTGACTTACCTAGTTCGGAAAAACGTTTGGCTTGAACAGTGGGAATTAAATTAGAAAAGTGTGTTTTGGTTCTCAAGATAAGTTCTTAAAAATGTAGAGATAGTTTCACAAAAATAGACATGCTAAATACAAAATTAGTTTGGGTAGAAATTTTTTTTTTCCCTTCTAAGTTGTATCATCTAACTTGCAGGTGTTCACCTTTGAAAATCAACCTGTGTATATACTCCACTGCTAAAAGTCCGTCTATACTGTAGTGTATCATTGTCTCCTTTGTCCGTATTTATCCACCTCCTTCCCATTTCCTTTCTTGTGGCTGCTATTCGGTTTTATAGTACAAAGGCTTCTTTCTGTTTTATTTATTTCACCTGTTTGTTTATTCTACGTACATAAAAGAGAAATCTGGTGTTTGTCTTTCTCAGTAAGCAAAATTTCCTCTAGGTCCAGTGAGAGAATTCACCAGAGTCAGAGCAGGGAACAGAACAGGCAGACTGATGAAATACACTGCTGAGGGGGGCAGTGTGTGGGGCAGGAGAGGTCTGTCGTGCTATGTGGGACCCTCGCCTGTGGCTGGGGATCGAACCGGCTCTGCAGAGGCTGTGGGCAGCTTCGCAGCCCAGCATTCAACCGCTGCACCACCAGGGGAGGCCCTATACACTATATTTTCTTTAACCACTTGGCAATTAAAGAAACAACTCAGATTGCCTCCAGAACTTGACTATTGTAAATATGCTACAATAAACCTTAAGGTGACAGTATCACTTTGGATTGGTATTTTTGTGTTTTTTTGGTAAATGCCAAAAATTGAAATAACTGAATCATGTGGTAATTCTATTTTTAATTTTTAAGAATTTCATATTGGCTTCCATAATGCCTACAGCGTTTTACATCCTTCTAACAGTGTTAAGGGATTCCTTCTCTCCACACCCTCTCCAACGCTTGTTTATTTTTGTCTTTCAGACAATAGTCATTCAGTCATTTTTCCAGACATGAAATGATATCTTATTGTTGTTTTGAGTTGTGTTTCTCTAAAATAAGAGATGCTGTATATATTTTCATGTGCCCACTGACCATCCATATGTCTTCTTTGGTCTATATTCATATCTTCTGCCCATTTTAATCAGTTTTTTAAAAAAATAAGTTTTAGGAGTTCTTTGTGTATTTTGGATAGTAAGCCCTGTAGTACATAAAATGTACAAATATATATATTTTTTATTCCATAGACTGTCCTTTCATTTTGATGCAAGTTTCTTCCTGTGTACAGAAGCTTTTTAATTTGATGTAGACCCATTTTTCTTTTTGTTTACCTTGCCTTTGGAGTTGAGTCCCCAAACTTATTTCTAAGGCTGATGTCAAGAATCATACCACCTTTGCTTTCTTCTATGTATTTTATACTTTTGTGTCTCATATCTAAGTCTCGCTCCGTTTCAAATTAATACATAATGCATGTGGCTATCCAGATTTCCCAGTGCCATTTATTGAAGACTTTTCATACTTCATTTCGATCTCTTGACTTCCTTGTCATAAATTGTGCATATGGTTGTATTTTCATTTCTGGGCTCTCAATTCTTTTCCACTGAACCTATGTATCTATTTTTTACTACAAAACCAAGCTTTTTTTTTTTTTTAAAGATTTATTTATTTATGCATACAAGAACTGGGTTACAGGCCAG